GAGATAGATAGATAGATAGATAGATAGATATACATATATATATATATAGATATACATATATATATATATATATCCATATACATATATGTATACCTGGAAACCCCGAACGCCTTTTAAAACGGCCGGCGCCGGCCAATTCCTCTTCTGTTCTTAAGTCGGCGGTTTTGACCAGCTGTCTGCGGGATCGGGGTTTTGGCGGCTGAATTGTCCTAGAACCCTCTCGCAGCTCTTTTATCGCTTGGCTTGCGAGCCCTGGCTGGTCGTGCAGCCGCTGCAGGTCCGCCCCCCCTGCCAGCATTGAGAAGGGTTGGGAGTTGTGCTCTGATTCGACCTTGATGCCTTGAGCTTGCGATTTCCAGTGGCTTTGAGGCTCGAGGGCTGGCAGCAGGGTTTTTGAATAGGCGACATGGAGCAGCTACCCATGCCGATGGAGGGTTTCAAGCTCCTCGAGTCTGCAGGACTTTGTGGCTAATTGACCATATGATTTGAGCTGCCCATTCTGTTTTTTTGCAGGACTACAGGATATGCCTTTGGCATGGTTCCACGAGGTGCAAGGAGTTCTCTGGCCCGATGCCATCCCCCATGAGACTTAGTAGCACATAGATCTACAAGTCGTGAACAACCCAACCCTAAAAGATACTAAAAAAACAACCGGATACCTAAGGACGTGCTTTCGGCTCGGGAGATCGAAATCATCGTGGAGAATTACAAGCAGGGGGGGTCGGTGAGAGAGATGGCCAAAAAGTTTTGGCAGGCTGCAGAGGCCAAGCGAATCTTTGATTGCATTCCTTTAAGATAGAACAGGCACAATCGAGAAGTTTCCCTAAACCTTAAACCCTAAACCCTAAACCCTAAACCCTAAAGCCTAAACCATAAACCCTAACAAAAAAAAACCCTAGACCCTAAGCCCTTGCCCTGAGCTCATGCCTAGGATTGGGCGAACTGCCTGAGACGCCGGAGAAGACCAAGGAGCCGTAGTCGCCGTGGATTAACCTTGGGTTCGCAAGCAAGGCTGAAAAAAGCACGAATGCCTTGCCAATCCTTGCCCTGAGCTCCCGATAGTGTTCGCGATTGTTCGGTTTCGCAGGCATTCAAGAAAGCTCTTGGCATGGTCCTAGACTGAGTACTGTATCTCTCTCTCTCTCTCTCTCTCTCTGGGCGCTTTTACGGATTCAGGTCTTCATGGTGCTCATCGTCCCTGAGGATTTCAAGTTCTTGTTCTGGCAGAGGTTCGCATCAACTCTGATTTTAATAACCTCATGTCTAGCATGCCAGGCTTTGTTGATGATCGAGTCTTTTCTTACGATGCATTCGAGGAGGCTCGCACAAATCTTTATCAAATTGATGAGGGATCATTTCCCTTTTCCCGACAGGCCCTGGATGGCTTCGCTCGACTCCGGTATCGGGTGACACTGCCTGCTTTTTTTAAGACTGGTTGGTGCTGGGGATAATCTTCCAGGTACTCCCTGGAATCGAAAGTGCAGGAGGCCTGCTCTTTTCGTGACTCAGTGGGGCATGCGACATTTATGCACTGGCTTGTGCTAGGCTGGACGAACCGTTCAGCTTCGAGTGCCCCTCCCTTCCGCTGGCAGTTTGCATCCATCCGAGTGTGCATGCTTGTGAGCTCGCATGTGCCTCCTGCAGCTTTCTGGCCTGTTTATAGCAACTTGACAAGTTGAGGTCTGATTGAAGATATTACCGAATAGCAGAGGATTGAATCTCTGATATATTTTCCCACACCCTGGGTTTTGTCAGCAAAGTAGATCCGCAGCTTCGGTCGGCATGGCTGAAGCAGAGTCTCCGTGCACCCCTCCCAAGAAGGGGTCAAAGGCCAATAGGGTTTGGGTGGAAATCTCAGGATTATGGAATTCCTGGGAGGAGGACCCCATCATCCGGAAGGCTGCTCGCAAACGGAAGTCCCTCTTGTGCTGGCCCGATCCCTCAAAGACCGGCTTCATCAACAAGGCTAGTTTGAAAGCCAACTGGAGAGTGATTCTGAACCTTGTGCGACTCTACTGTCCTTTGGCTCCTTCAAACAAGACTGCTCCTGTTGGGGCTATCAAGAAGGAGGTGGCTCGGGGATCAATAGCTGAATCTATCCTTGCAGTATCTATGTTTGCTTCACCTGGGGTCGCTTTTCATGCCTGAGGTGGCCAAATTCTTTGAGGAGATCAGCCTCACGCCCAGAGTTGGGTTGGTTCATTGCGAGTCCCACAGCCTCCGAATGTTCCTCAGTTATATCAACCGCCGAAACGATGGATCTAAGAAGAAGGCTTCTGGGCTTATGTTTTTCATTCTGTTTGAAGAAGATAAGGGTTTAGGGTTTAGGGTTAACAGCTGGGGTTGCTTATGATAAGTGGTTGGTCATTTTTGGGGTTTTCTTTGACGGGTAATACATTATAGTGCTAAGAAGCCAAGCTTCAACCCTAAACCCCATACCCCAAACCAAAACCCTAAATCCTAAACCCTAAACCCTAAACCCAATCCGAGGATTCCTGCATTGCTCAGATTTTCGAAGAAGTTCAGAAGCACTGGGCCCCAAAGATCCGCTCACGTGGGGCCCTAGTCGAGGCTGATGATGAAGTTGAAGGGGATGAACAGGATGATGATGGGTGTGAACAGGACCAGCTCACGGAGCCGGACGAAGACGAGGACAGCCAGGACTTGGTGGATCCTTATCTTGCTTCGGCCATGGGGCTGGAGGCCGGCTCACCCCAGCCTTGTTCGGCCTACGTAGGCACGATTCCTTATGAGGTGAATGATGAGAATGGTAAGCCTGCCCCATCCGAACCCTCAACTGCCCTCGCGAACATTGACGATGCTTGCGATGCTGACCTTGTGCGAAGTCTTGCTGAGATCGAGCATCTCGCTGGCAGTCGTTTCAATAGACTTCGTGGATACAGCAGATAATTACTCTCACGCCCCTTAGCCTTAAACCCTGAAACCCTAAGCCGCTTAAAACCTAAACCCTAAACCGCAGCCGAGGCAGCGAATGGCCCACCGACGAGCAGCTGTGAGTGGGCAGCAGGCTGTCCAGAGATGGAATAGAGCCTCAGCAGAAGCTTTTTGTGCAACCATGACCCTGAACTTTGATCCCTAAACCCTTAACCCTAAACCCTAAACCAAATGACCACTCTAGTGCCACCCCCCCAAAAAAAATCAAGAAGCCAAGACATCTCAGGCTTGGTGCACATGGACACCCAGAAGACCTCCGAGTGGAATCCCTTTGCCGATATCGTCGTAACAAGCCCCGACCATCAAGAGCAGGAAAACCTTGCGAACCCCGAAGAATCAGCTGCTACTGCTACGGTTGGCCTTTGCCGACAAGGTGCTTCGATCTTTAATGATGCAGCACCAGTACCAGTGGCGACGCCGGCCCGTGGCAAAGTGCCTGCGACTGCGATTTCAGATTCGGCAAGCCCAAAGCCCCTTGGTGATGCAGTGCCTGTGGCTTCAGATTCGGCAATCCCAATGGGCCTTCCTGATGCAGTGGCTCCGGCTTCAGATTCGGCAATCCCACAGGCCCTTCCTGATGCAGTGGTTTCAGATTCGGCAATCCCAAAGCCCCGTCGTGAAACAGTGGGTTTAGGGTTTAGGGT